ATATATATATACATATTTTTTTAATCTTACTAAATAGTTTTGTTTCAAGAAGACACTATCACAAAGTCTCTGTGTAGCAAAGGGTATCAGCCACTTACAGAGCTCAGCGTGGTAATAAGGAAAAGCATAATTTCCTGTGGTTTGACAATAATGTGACAGGAATAGCTCCGACTGCTTTGAATAGATCATGAACACAACTTGTCCCTCTCTGCTGAAGCTCAAAGATGTGGAATCCTACTAAACAAATGCGACCCAGCCATCAGTCAGCGAGGTGCTATATTTATGGATATCCTCACGTGTTCATCATTTTGCTGCATCCTCTTAGGGTTTCAAAATTCGAGTGACCACTTCTGCCTCCGACAATCTTTCAGTCCAATTGGAGAAACAAGGCTGACAGAGGAAGGGTAATGATTTAGCAATAAGAAGTCTTTCTGGAAATTCGGCATCTAAATCAGAAAATCCTAGAAAAATAGATTTTAAAATAATATCCATTCAATCCATTCCTAAATCTTGGGCATGCCTCATAAAGGGTTATCACAAGATAACACACAAGAGTTATAATGCCCAGTCTTTCTACGCTGATAAAATATTTGATTGTGGAGCGAAGAATCAGTTGGTTTTCATCAAATTTCACTCACCCTTGAGCTTTTGGAGGGATTTGAATGTAATCATTATAGATACATTTGGGAAAAAATCCTCACTGATACAAAGAATAGATCTGAACACAGTTAAAAATGCAAAGCCCTTAGGTTTAGTGTTCACCCTAAAAATGGCGAAGAATAATTTAGCATTTTCCACTCAGATCCAGATGAAAAGGCATCTGTAACCAAGTGGTGACACATGAAGGCAGGGACTACGTCTCTTTATTTACGACCTTATCGCTGGCAAATAAAATACTGGGCGTATACTGGGCAGTCCATAAATATTGGTGGAGTGAACTAATGACCCAGAGCTCTAACACAATAATATGTGGTTGGCTATAAGCATTGATTCAAATTCAGCACAACCAAGGACGGTGGCAAATTAGCATTCAAAGTTCTCTGAATATGTTCGTTAAAATATATTTAAAATTGCGCTATCTAGCATGACATTCACAGTTGCAAAGGTACCCCGAAACAAGCTAAGTAAAGTCTCCACCGATTAAGAGGGAGAAAGGGTATATTGAAGCCCTAATATGTGCTCCATTACTATGCAAGAGACTATTGGACCTAAAAGGAAGAATACACAAATGAACATAGAGTGTGAAGACCCTGCCCACAAATGTCTCAGAAGCCAAGAGTAAGGATGGTATACCACCAAGATGATGTGACTAAAGAGAGAAGAGGCTCTACAAGAATCCAAGGGAAAAAAATAAGCCAGGTAAATATTTTCTCCTTACCTGACCTCATTGTATAAATTGTCTTAAATTTGTAATTTAGTCTCTTCTCTTTACATGCAAATAAAATATAGTCGAACTTCAAATTGGTGATTTAATTCTCTTAGATTGCAGTGTAAGCCACTCTTAAAAGTGAGAAATTGGGGCCGGGGTGGGGGGAGAGTATTTTTTTACTTTCTTGCTAGGCCGGTGTTGCTAAGGTAAAGCGAACTTTAAGTGCTTTCCGACTTTATGAAACAATTTTTTCGATTTACATACTTGAACTAAGAAAGGCTCAAGATTTTTTTATTTTTATGTTTTGGCCATAATGTTGGTTCCAACATGCACTGTTCTTTCTAGTAAGCACAAAATTGGTCCCATACGTTGAGAAAGAATAGAAAATTGTTTTATGCTTGTGTCTTGTGGAGTTAGATGCTTCTTTAGAAAAACAAACAGATCTTCCTGGTGCATTTATTAATTTATTTTCATCCTGATGCATCTAAAGGAGACAATATCTAACTGCCACAGTGTGGGAGAGGATGCGATTTTTGAGGGCTGCAAGAGGCCCTGGGCGGGGAGATCCGAGTTTGTTAGGGCCTTGCATGCTTCCCACCCCCATACACACTCAATCCCCACCCCATTCAACGATCCCCACAGACATAGCCCAAGACTTGTGTTGTTCTCCTGGAAGAATAAAGTAGCTTGAAAATTCTATCCTTTGGAAGACTGAAAACGTGTTTGCGGTGGTTAAGGAATTTGTGAGATTTAGTAATGAAAGAGTCTGTCCCTAGAGCTTTCGGTGTGCTTCTTTTTACTTCCTCTATTTTTGCTTTATTCCGTCTGATTAATTCAAAATTTGCGGAAGTTCCAGACAGGACTCTGTGGCCTTTGGTTCTGTAAAGCTCCCTTGACCTCTTTCCTCCTGGGAGGGAGGGGTGAAAGACACAGAGCCTAGGCTCCTTCACGTGGACCGATAGCCCATTCTAATGACGAATTTGTAACTTATGGCAAACCTCAGGACCCATTCCTGTCTGTGAAAAAGACCATCATCTCCAAGCTCCTAAATATCAGTGTGCATTCCCAAGCTGATTCATAAATACTCCCGGCCCTTCTGAGAATATTCTTTCCTGGGAAGAAAAAAGAATTCTCTTCCCCCACCGAATTGAAAAACGAAAAGGTCGCCTCTCCCATCCTCCGTCTCTATGTGCAGCAGTTAAGTGTACAGTGTGAGACGTACAGAAGCCTTTGAATTTGCCCATTCCGCACACCAAGCAGCCAAAATTCAATCATCACCGGGTTTTTCATTTATTTATTTATTAGCTCCATTTTAGCTTTAGCCTCCCAGGAAAGGTCTTCTCTTCCTCTTCATTTCATGAATCATCCTTTCCCCTTAATGCTCATTTTTATTTTTAAACTGAGGAACACTTTACTTGTGTTAATTTCTTAAAGTCTAATTTCATCTTTGCATTGTTCGAAAAGTGCACACAGCAAAAAACGAATAGGGTTTGGTTTATCTTTGCGCCTTGGGCATTTTCATTCTGCCCACACCCTTCCTTGCAAGCAGGTAAAGAAAATGCAGGGCTGGAGGGCAGGCCCCCACACCTTTGTGCTCACCACTGTCTTTTCTCCAGCGACCAATCAGGCTGTGGCAACTCAAGTTTTGCAGCCACCGGCACACATCCCTTCCCTTGCAAGTCTTCTAGCTGGTGTGGTTGACTGTCTAAACCACAGGTAAATGGCTTCCTGTGTAGTTCTCAAAATAAGTGTTGAGCAAAGGAAATCAACCCGTTTAATAATGATCGACCATTTGGCCTCCTCCTCTCTCCTTCAAAAAGGGCGTTTTCGTTAAGTTTTGGGGGGAAAGTTTAACTTCTTGGACATCTGCATCGTGAATCTTCACCGAGATATCGGGTGCGCTACCATTCTTAAGTGCTCTTTGCACTTAACTGGTAGCTCATTTTCCTTTCTGCACATTAAATGTCCCCAAACAAACGCTTGGCTTTTACCCGTTGTTTAAATAGAAGTTACCAGACCCGAGAAAAGCACTGGAGCTGAGCCAATTAAATCCTACTGGATTTAAACCTAGCGCAAATGTCAGCCTTGTTCTGTCTAGTCTTTGAAATCTATTCAAATTAAGAGTAGTAATAATTTTAAAGTTCTATTCACTAATCGCAAATGCGGCTTTCATTGGAACCAGCCGTTAGATTGAGGGAAAACGTCTTGAATTTTCATAAAGCACCTGTTTAAAAAGGTGCCTTTTCTGACAAGGCTGCTTACATACTGTGTTGATGCTGGCGATTGGATAAATAACCAAGTTCAATTCGATGCCTAAAATAAGCTGTTATCACCCCCCTCATGATGAAACCCTGTGAAGGTAAGTATATTTTTAATCTGTTTTCATACAATTGATATCAGGAATTCAAACAGCCTAAGTAAACGATTTTCCATTATCTAGCATCGATGAGGTTACTTCACATACTCGGGTGAAACTCATTTTTATGACTTCTGAGAATTTACCCCAATTACCGAAACGTGAAACGTTTGTCATTGATCCCTCCCCAGTGAGACCACGAGGCGGGCCCTTTTGCAAAGGTTTCACCTGCGAGCAAGCATCCCCTCCACCCCCACCCTTCCAGACATCAGTCACACACCGGGCCAGGTTTTAAAACTTTTTATTTGCATATTAAAAAAATTGTGCATTCCAAAAAATAAAATCATTTGAACAAAAAAATGGCACTCTGATTAAACTGCATTTTACAGCCTGCGGGACACTTTGGACCAGCTTGGTTTCACTCTAGATTTCTCCGTCGTCCCACCCAGCTTCTGCCTTCACCAACATGCGAGTTCTTTTCCTACCAGCCAGACAGACAAGTGAGAATTGCAAGTGCGGCCTTCATTAGTTCTACAGGCAGATGGGAGACAGGTGTGGCCTTGCTGTCATTAGTTCTTGAATATGAAAAGGGGGGCAGCACAATCATTTAAACTTGATCCAAACTGCATCTTACAAAGTTAAACAGCTAAAAGAAGTAAAATAAGAAGGCAATGCTTGTGGAATGTACAGTGCATACTGGCGGTGCTCGTCTCATTACGATTCGCCTGCCTGCTTCTCCTGTTCAATCGCTGTGACCCGAAAGAGAAAAGAAAAAGATGATGTGGAGTAGTTAGATAGATCCAGTGGAACGTAGTGTAAGATTGCAATCCTTTCATTAAAACATCTTTCCGAATCATAAAAGTTCTACAAGTATCTATCAGCGTTCATCATGATTTATACTAAATTAAATATTTTAACAATAAAAGTATATGCATATTAATATGGTATATTAAGCATTCCGTCATTAAATTATTAAAGCCTTGTCGCTGCGAAACAATTTTTAATTAACCTTTCCAGGCCACATTCGTCATAAAACTGTCGGCTCCTCCCTCCACCTCCCCTCTTATTCTCTCGGCCCTGCCCATCCTTCTTCGAACCCACCCAAAGTAAGGCTAGTCTTACTTTCTTTTGATGGCAGTGGGTTTTTCTCTTGCGTTTCTGTCTTCTTCAATTTCGACTTATCGAATTTCTCAATCTCAGCCATATCGGGTTTGTCAGACATGGTTGCGGAAGAAGCTGCATATACAAAGCCAGGAGAGAGGTTGAGAGCGAAGCCTCTGTTCGCTCTCGTTCTCTTCTCTCGGCTTAGAAATGCGCTTTTGCCCTCCCATACCCTGTTTGAAACCCCACCTCCACCTCCTTCCGCTTTCATTCGGGGATAAAGATCTTTCTACAGAAAAAAAAGGTCCCCCCCCCGCTTTAATATTTCGAAATGCGCGGGGAGGGGGGCGACTGGGAAGATCGATCACATCAGGAGGTCGAATCTTTGAGAATGACATTGACCGCTGTGGGGCTGCTAACTGTAGAAGGATTTCGCCATTAAAATCTGGCTAGAAGGAGTAGAGAACAGTGAAGCCATTCCAAGTTCAAGGGGGAGAAAATCGAGTACAAATTCTTAAAATGGAGCCAAGGCTGCAGCGTTTCCGTTTTCTATAGGTACCTCTCCCCCTGCAAACGTGCAGCCCATGCAGCTCTCTCCTCGTCACAAAGGCGGCGCTGCTGCCGGCGCCTCCGACCACCGCCCCACCCCGCTTCCTCTCTCCTGTGCAACAATGCAGCGGGCCGCGCACAAAGCTGCCCCCGCAGCCACAGATCAGCCTCCTCTGCAGCGAGGGGGCATTTGGGCAGCCTCGGCACACATTCTCCTGCAGGATGGTCTTTTTAAACGTTTCACAGCCCAGACACCTTAAACCTGGATCGATACAGCCCACGAAGCTGTCAGATGCTAGAGGAAAAATGCTAATTGTTGCAGCTCCGGGCTTGGGTGGGTGTGAGCTGGAACAAAGGACCGGATTCATCACTGCCTAAGAGGTAATGTAAAATGCCTTCGGGCCTAAGGGAAAAATGCTCTCTCGCAGCTGCATAGCAAAATGCCAGTTTCGGGGTTTTTTTAATCCCCCAGCTCCCGACCCCATTCCCCCGCATCTGAAGGGTTTGGCATCCCCCAGCTCCCCGCCAAGGGAGCCTCTCCCCGGAGAGCCACGCGGGCTCGGCTTTAGGGATGCGGGCACCGGGTGGGAAGGGGACCCTCCCGAGGGCGAGAGGCAGGGGCCCCGGGGCTCACCGGCGCGAGGCAACGAGGAGAGAATTGATGGGCTCAGTGGCTGTCGGTCGCGGAGTGCCGGGTGGGGCGCAGCGCGTGCCGCTATATAGAGCGCTCCTATGTAAATGAGGTGATGTCACCCGCCGGCCTGCTTAACTCCTTCGCGTCTCCCGCACCGTGTCCCACGGCCTGACTGGCATTTGCCCCTCCCCTGCCCCCACGTCTACTGATGCACCCTAATTGCAACGAGGGTTGAAATATAAAACCGGCAAAACCCCACCCTCCAACACGTCCTTCATAATGCACCTTACCCTTTTGTCTATTTTATCTTAATGGATCTTTGCAATAGCGGCGCAAACTAGCTCTTGGGGAGCGGAGCAGGACAACTAAGGGCCTGAGTGGGACCTAAGGGGACAGGCATTCCTTTACTCTGAGTCTGGCTTTGTTCGATGCAGCCATCACCTAGCAAGGGTGCGGTGTACCCCGCAGGAGAGCCTCGCCCACTGCAGCGGTGAGATTCGTGTGACTCAGCGTTCAGGCCAGTAGAGGGCGTTCACCCCACTCAACCCGCTTCGTCTCCTCCAAGACGGTCTCCGTGACTCGGATTGGAGGTAAATCACCCTTAAGTGATTAAAAAAAACAAAAGTTTCTTCACTATGATATGCATCTTTTTTCATCGCTACAATTTTTGTAAGTACCTAAACCAAATAACCGTAATATTTACTGAATGGAGGGTATTTGTTTGGAGGTTATAGACTGTTTCCCCATTGAAAAATAAGTCAAGTTCAAGCTCTGCTATTGACTTGCTGCCTGACAATGAGAAAGTTCTTTTACTTTCATGTTCCTCGTTTTCCGAACTATAAAAGTCATTGCTA